AAGCTTGCATCACTCTCTTACTCATATACCAAAGTTGACAGTTTTTATTTTTCGCGCGAGATTCCCTAATCTATATCGCGTTTACAAGCTCGCAGAGTCGCGTTGCTGCTGCTCACTGCCTCTTCTTCTAGAAAGATGAGCACACAATTACTTCTCACCCCTTTCTCTCCTTCTTCGTCTTCGACTTCTTCCTTTCTTTCTCTCTTCCATCAAAATTTATGAGCTGTACTTACTCCGCGGAGTGCGCACGTCGTGCATTTTTATGGCTTACGTTCCTACATATACAGTCCTTGCACACACACACGTAGTCAAGCTGTGCGCAGCAGCAACAGCAGCACAATACCCGGTGCCGCGTATAATACAGCATACATACACATATATACGCCTTGTAATATATACGATTCTTTCGGGTGCACTTTTCAGCTGCGATCGCGTATCGTATACGTACATATATACGTACGTATATACGCGTGTGTATGTAAATTTACATGGAAAGAGCGAGAGAAACTGCAATCGATATAAAGCCCGCTGCTCCCCGAGAGAGAGAGAGCTCGACACACTTTCCAATTTTATGTCTGTATGTACGTACGTATATGCACGCATTTGTGGCGGTCGCATGTGTGTATGTGTGTGCATTGCGATACGCGAAATGTTATTACGAGCCCCGCGCGCGCAAAACGCAATGATACCGTATTATATCGTTATTATATTTTCGGAATATTACGTATAGAAATGCGCCGGGTATATAAGTGTCGCGTGTATACAATACGCCTCGCGAGTTTCAACAAAAGGGACGTTATTATTATACATACGTATATAATACAATAATAATATAATGTATAGGCGCGCGCTACTGGCGTTCGTTAAAAGCCCCCCCCCCCCCCCCCCCCCCCCCCCNGTATATACGCGGCCTGGCCGCACGGACGGCGATTATACAAGGCGTGCATTCTCGCGTTTACATCGGTTATGAATCGTTAAAACAACGGCGGCGGCGGCTGCCGAAAAAAAAAAAAACAGAAAGAAAGAAAGGATGAGAATATAACGACGACGACTGCCATTGTGCCCGCACTTTTAATCTAGAAAGATTTAATTGCTCTCTTGCATATATATAGCATCGATGCGCGCGAAAGAAGAAAGCGTGAAAAAAAGACGAGCGCTCGGCGCGTGTCGGAGAAAAACGGGGTGCGGTGTCGGTTGCGTCGTCGTACGTGCTCGTGGATCGTCGTTTCTTTTCTGCGTTCTGTCCCTATTTTTCGAAGTGAAATTTCTCGAGGCCCGTGTCGGAGGTGTGAGGGCAGCTGACCCGTAAAAAACCGAAAAAGGGAAGCGCGCGTGATAATCGCGTGATAGGAAAAAAAATAGACTTCACAGAGATCGAGCAACGGTTTTGCAATAGACCGTTCGACGCTCGCATGACTTCGAATTAAATAAACAAATCGATTGGAAAGATCGAACCAAGAAAAGCGAAATAATAGTTTCAGGGTCCTTTTTTCGTTTTGGTCGAATTTTGGGTTTCTGGACGCATATTTAACTGCGCGTTATTAACTATTATTTATTAACTACGTATTTATTCAAGTTATTTTTGTCTTGGAAAGAATTTCCACATTCGTTACGCATGTTTTCATTTATTTTTGCATGAACTGTAGCAATATGTTTATTATGCTTACTTTTATTACAATAAAAACTTTCCGCACGAATCGCACGTGCAATTTTTAATTTTTTGATGGACATTCATAACGTGGACATTTAAGCTATATGTTTCGTATCAAAGGATCTCCCGCAATTTTCGCAAACAAATTTTTGTCCAATTTTTGTTTAGTCAGTAAAATCTTACAGCAATAATGGCATTTGCGACGTGCTTGGTAATTTGGATTTTTAAATGTATGTCGATCTAAACACAACATTGTATAAGTCTCTCGAATTTTCACTCTTACATTATACACTTACTGGCACTGCTATTTCTGTACTGTTATTATTTCAGCTCTCATGTATACTTAGAACTCATACATTATACCGTTGAAATGTTGTTTACAAGATATTAATTGTTATTATGATAATATATTTATATTTTTGGTGTGTACCAATAACTTTGGTCTCTGTAACGTTTTGTGGTAACGAATGTACGATTTCAGATCTCTTACGTTCGATACTGTGCTTGTCGATAAGAAATAAAAATAAAAATTCACATTTATCATTTATTCATTTAAAATTAATATATGCAAAATTACATTGTATCAGTCATTAAAAATACCGCGAGCGAGCTCATCGGCCATCACGAGCTTTCTCCCGCAGCCACCAGACACGCGCGATAAAAATCCTCGTTGGTAAGATCGTCGACGATCGCATCGTGATCATCGACGATCGCCGCGAATTTTCGCAAGAGTCCTCTTAAAAGTATCGCGCCCAGCCTCGCGTCGAGTTTCTCGCTGCTCACCCCCCATTTTCGACACAAATATTTGTTCAATTTGTGCGTGAGCAGATAGTCCCTGTACTGGTATTGCTTGCACGCCTCGTCGAGCGGTAACTGCACGAGATCGTAGAACGATCGACCGTTTCTTATCTTTACCGTTTTCAAGAGATCCCAGACATCTTCGTCGTCGTACCAGGGTTGACCGTCGAGATCCGCCGACAACTCGTACAATCCGCACTCGGCGAACAATCTCATCATCGTCAAGGCGTCGCTGCGTTTCAAAGCGTATTTTTTCAAATTCAGACGCCGGACGACAGCAGTGGCGTCGACTATCGCTTGAAATTTCCGGCTATCTTCAGATATTTCGGGCTTAAATAATTCCAGCACATTTATTTCGCGTTCGAATGATTCCAGGAACTCGCCGAAGTCGGTAGGGAATACGAAGTCAGACAGGTCGGCACCGACGTTCAAAAGGGCACTGACCGCCTCCGGTAAAAGATTCGCCACGGCCAATTGAAGCGCGGTCCGGCCCTTCTTGTCCCGGGCATCGTGTTTGAGCGTCTTTTGCTTCTGGTCGACTATCCTGAAGAACGACTCGATCAAGCTCACATCATCCTGATCCTTGCTATCGTCGTAACGTTCGCGGTGTCTCCTGCAGACGAGGTGCAGAGGAGTCTCGCCCTCCTCGTTGGCCAAGTTCGGATCGGCATCGCTTCTCAGAAGAATCTCGGCCAGTTTCCTCTTGCTGTGAAGTATGGCCAGGTGCAACGGGGCGTTACCCAACCCGTCCTGGCTATCTATTCGCACGGGATTGATCAATTTGCCATTGGCGCGGAGGAACATCTTCGCCAATAGGACGTGATCTATTTTCACCGATTTGAATTTGCAGATGATGTGCAGAGGCGTCGATCGGTCCAAGTTCGTACCGGCAAGTCTTGGTAGCACCAATTCGGTCAACACCTTAAACTCACCGATACCTGCTTTGTAATTGCCTCTGTCGATTATGTACTTCACGCAATCCGAGACAAGACGCTCTGTTTCACCAGGCTGGAACAGATCCCGGAGATTAGGAAGTTGGCCCTCCCAATAATCGATCAAATACTCAAATCGGGGGAGAAAGAAAGCTCGGTCTTTCTCGGTACTCCAATTGACATTTTTTAGTATACCCTTCAATCTTTCTTTTTCTTCGACCTTCCAATTGACATTTTCTCGTGAACTCTCCGATTTTTCTTCTTTTTCGGCCTTCGGATCGACATTTTCTACCGAGGTGTCTGATTCTTCTTCTTCTTCTCTCTTTGATTTTTTAAAATCACGTTGGTCGGGGGACGGCGTTGTGCGCCGATTACAAGCCATGTTCGCTTCAAATGTAAAATATTTTTCACTATCTTTACGAAAATCGCTTGCTACGGTCGACCCGATTTTTGGTGCTTTGTTTAGACTCCGGCGACTAACGTGTACTAACTATGCTACGATCTGTACAGAGATGAGAAAACTACGCGGGAAAAAGTAACAATAGTGAGTACTGAAACGTTTAGGAGGGGGTAGGGTCTATTCGATAGTTTTCGAGCATAATTTCAATAACTTTTTTTTTGAGCTCATAGAAAAATAGATTTATCTATTAATTATATAAATTATAGTTATTTTGAAGAATATTCGGTTAGATTTTCAGCTCAAAATAGCGAAAAATATGCTACCTACAGCAAATTTTCTCACACAACTGAAAGAAAAAAAATCGATTACGGCGGACACTGAAGCTGAAAATCTACACGACCGATTCATTTCAAATTTTTCCCATTAATAAAGTACATAAAATATGAGGTAATGACGTCGCGAGGTATTTGATTAAAAATGATGTTTGGTTTCATTTAAAGTAAAGAAAATGACTGTTTTAGCTTTTTTACAACGACGTCTGGCTCCAAATCTCATTTTGAAGCCTATCACATAACTTCCTCTATGAGAAAGCAATATTGAAAATTATTGATTTTTTATCAGTTTTCCTCGGTTATTCTGTTGCCCCGAGGTAAGCAGGATATTTCCTGACAGAATAATCGGAAAACAAAAATTCGACATATTTCTCAAAATTTATACTCTTGACCAGTTGTCGAACGAAGGAAAAGTTAAAAAAAATAAATATTGATAATTCTGCATGAGTTTGAATGATCTTTTTGTACATACATATTCGACAAAAAATGGGCCAATTTTTTTGGATCAATGGATCAAGTTTTATTTTTTTTACTTTTCCTTCGTTCGAAATTATATTGACATTTTACTATTGACTGCTTTTCTTTAACAACTATTTATCGTTTCTTTTTTATTTTAACAATAAAAAAAAATTTTAGTCTTAATATTTTTTTAAAGAATGTTATTTGTGACTAAATAATAAATGATGGTGTATACTATCAGTATATGTGTACAGTAAAGGACAGAGAGAAACCTATTGGCGCGCTCATTAGCGACTGAACTTTGAGTTTAACCGCTAGATGTCGTAATCGACTCCATACATGATAAAACAAAGTGTCGCAATTATATATCCCGGTATATTACATAAAAATATTAGTGGTTAGATGGCACTTGTTACAATATTCCATACCTGAGCAGGCCTGAGGAGGCAACGGGAATATCAGTGTGGTCGAGGACTTTCTCCGGGCCACGGCGCAGCCCAGGCTCTGCGGCTTGAAGGCCCGCAGCTGCTGCATAAAGTCCGACGTCTCCATCAGTGCTACGTCGGCGAAGTGCAGGTCGCAAAGTATCTGATTTTTGAATCTGTCATACATACATTTTATATACGTAATTTATGCAAACGCATTTAAACGCTATAACGCGCTGGTATTTCATTGTATAATATCGTCGCTGCAAGCGCGCGAGCGTATTTAGCAACGAAAATGTGTGTGTGATTTACCTGCGAGCCCGTTTTTGATTGGGTCCCGTGAGATTGAGGCCGCAGCTGTTACATTTTAGGCACTCCTCGTGGTAGTGGTTGTTGTCGTAAAGCGGGGATGGCTCTGGAAATGTGCGACAAAGGCAAAAGAACGTTATACAATGACCTATAAACTGAAAGCTCGTATAAGTACAGGAAAAAAATCGAGTCGAGTACTCGAATTCTCGGGTACTCGATTAATGTTTTTCGAGTACATACTCGAGTTTATTTTGATTGCTCGAGTTTTTTTTTGCGAGTTACGTTTGACTGATTTCGAGTTTTGAAACTTTGTTTCGTAATGCCTGGCACGATAAAAAAAAATAGAGAAAAACTCGTTCACAGCAGTGATTATCCTGCATATCATTCGGGAAGCTCCCTTGCCCTAAATTCAAGCAAAAAGACTTGATTTTTCATAAAAATGTAAGATGTTTTTGAAGATGCGCCGAGAAACATCGGATAGCGCGCGGGCCTGTGACCGGAAAGTGTCGGATTGGGTGCAATTAAATATGACGAGTCTCTGCGATACCGAGCGCGATAACTAAGTAAACTTGCGGTAATTTTCATTCGAATAAATAAATAAAATTTAAAGAAGAGTTTCAATTTTTCTAACGATAAACACACTATCATTCGCATTAAAAGACCTTAAATCGTGTATTTATTACCACGACAACGTATCGAGACCAAAGTCCGAACACAAATCAAAAATATATTGAATCCCAATTTTCCTGCCTCGATTAGAACACTCGAGACTCGAACTCAACGTAGTCCGCGCCAACTTCAGTCGAGTATATATAGAACTCGAAAAATCGGTCACTCGCGCGCGCGCACACACCCCCTACATACACCGTTAGTTAGAAACAACATCGAGCGCGCGTACATTATCGAAATTGATTAATCAACGGAATTATTCGTGCGTTCGTTCCTGTATACATATTATTTATATGTATATAACAGAATACCTGACACAAACGAACGACGTTCGGTCGGTACAGCTTATCTATATGGGTCAGATTCAGAATTTTTCAAATAAACCTGCGGGCGAGGTTCACGGATTTTCCTGAAATTTTGGTATGTTATAGTACATGATAAAAAAGTGCCAAAACCAAAATTTTGGACCCCCTCCCCCCTCCTACCCCCCTCCTCCCCTATAGACGTCCATTTTCAATCTATATTTTTTCTGAAGGCCTGAAGCTATTAAAAAATCTGAAAAAATTCATGAAGGTACTTTTCAACAATCCAAACAATCTCGAATTTTTTCAGATTTTTCGAGTGCTTCAGGCCTTCAGAAAAAATCATTGAAAATTTAAATTATTTTATTTTCGGTGAAATGGTTCGATGTACCAGACCGGAGTATTTTTTTCTGAATTCTGACGTCAAAAAACGATTCCTTGAATTTTTTCAGAATTTTTCATTCATGTCCATTCAGCCTAGAGCTGAAAAACCGCTTTTTTTCACGAAAATAATTTTTTTAAGGCGCTACGGAGCCTCAAAAAATCTGGAAAAATTTTTTTCTCATTTTGTTCATCAAAATACATAATCTCAAATTTTTTCAGATTTTTTAATTGAAGGCGATAGCGTCTGGAGCCGAAAAACGTTATTTTTAACAAAAAAGGTTCCTGGAACCCGATGGTTCCGGTAAAAAAATTTGAAAAAATTTTTTTTGAATTCCTTGTCAAATTTTAATAAATTTTGACCGTCGCAAAATTTCGATTGGAGCTTCCTAGCTCATTCTAGAGCATAACAAAGATTAATGCGAAATTCTGAAGACATCTGAAAAAAATTTAAATATGATGAATGTCTTCAGAATTTCGCATTAATCTTTGTTATGCTCTAGAATGAGCTAGGAAGCTCCAATCGAAATTTTGCGACGGTCAAAATTTATTAAAATTTGACAAGGAATTCAAAAAAAATTTTTTCAAATTTTTTTACCGGAACCATCGGGTTCCAGGAACCTTTTTTGTTAAAAATAACGTTTTTCGGCTCCAGACGCTATCGCCTTCAATTAAAAAATCTGAAAAAATTTGAGATTATGTATTTTGATGAACAAAATGAGAAAAAAATTTTTCCAGATTTTTTGAGGCTCCGTAGCGCCTTAAAAAAATTATTTTCGTGAAAAAAAGCGGTTTTTCAGCTCTAGGCTGAATGGACATGAATGAAAAATTCTGAAAAAATTCAAGGAATCGTTTTTTGACGTCAGAATTCAGAAAAAAATACTCCGGTCTGGTACATCGAACCATTTCACCGAAAATAAAATAATTTAAATTTTCAATGATTTTTTCTGAAGGCCTGAAGCACTCGAAAAATCTGAAAAAATTCGAGATTGTTTGGATTGTTGAAAAGTACCTTCATGAATTTTTTCAGATTTTTTAATAGCTTCAGGCCTTCAGAAAAAATATAGATAGAAAATGGACGTCTATAGGGGAGGAGGGGGGTAGGAGGGGGGAGGGGGTCCAAAATTTTGGTTTTGGCAATTTTTTATCATGTACTATAACATACCAAAATTTCAGGAAAATCCATGAACCTCGCCCGCAGGTTTATTTGAAAAATTCTGAATCTGACCCATATGTATGTGTGCCCACACTCCTGTACGTACATATACAAAATGCATGTGTACATACGTACGTTAACGTCGAAGAGGTGTCAAAGCAATAAAACCGTTCACTTCGCGCGCCGATGTGTTTGTCGCGTATGTGTGTTATAACACCCAACGACGACAACGACTAGGCTAGAGGCCAGGCGAGAAAATCGATTCGTCATTATTATATATGTATCGCGCGGACAGAGGGACTTTTTGCACATCACCGGGGCGCGCGCGGCCGCAAGTAACGAAAACACAACGTACGGCAATTTTCATCGAGTACAAGTTGTTGTCAGCGGTATGGCGCCCGATGCGTTGTAGTAGTACCGTCTAATGTGTATATAACGCGCCGAGAAAAAAAGGGGCGACTTTAATCGATTCATAATCCGCGTGTGTCTCGGGGCTTTTATCGTATAATAATATATCTCTAGGCACACGTGCAATAGCAGCGACTAAACTTTTCCTCAAAGTGTGCAGCAGCAGCAGCAGCAACGATCGCGGCAGCGGTGCTTCTTTCTTTTTTTTATGTATTCCCGTCTCATCCTCTTTTAATTTCAGCAGCATCAACCGTTGCAGCTGCACTGCTACAGCTATATCTGCACGTATGTGTGTGTGTGAGTGTGTTAGTGTCATACCTTTGGCAAACACAGAGCATACAAAGCGGACGAGCGGTTAAAAAAAAAATGAAAAAAAAAACTCGACGATATGAGATAAAACTTACCTCTTTCTCTCTCTCTCTCACTTTCACGATCGATCCCATTTTCACGGCGAAAAAGAGGGAGAGAGAGAGAGAGAGAGAGAGAGGAAAAGAAATCTGAAAGCTGCCACGGCGCAGTCGGGGTCTAGTTGTTATATACGTGTGTGTACATATTATACCGCAGGGCTTTTTGCTTCCTCTCTCTCTCTCTCTCTTTCCTTGGTCTGTATCGTTGAAAATCACGCATTTTGACAAGCAATTAGACGCGCTTGCGGAAAGGCCAGCCCGAGGGCTAAAAGTATATACCCGAGGTTCGGACAGCTGCACACATGTGTGCGGGTGTACTTTTCATCTGTTGCGTGTTATATACACCGGGGCTCCTATCCATAAAGTTACATACACACGCACGCACGCACACACATGCATTTACGGCCAGAGCGTGTATCTAACTCGTTTACGGTCGTGTATGGTAGTGCTTGGCCGCGCGCATATATATACGTATCTATATACACGGTCCGAGTAGTAGAGTAGAGAGCGAGCGAGAGGGTGTGGTCCCACCATTTCTGCTCTTCTGGCAAACACATACACACACACACACACACACACGTGCGACGTTTTACCTTGTGCCTTTATATATCTAGCGCTATATATCTCGAACGTCGTACCTGTATGGCACACGATATAATACATTTACATATTATGCTACGTACGTGCTCTACTATAACACGCTTCTCTCTCTCTCTCAACTACCATGTGTGTGTATGATATTCTTCGATTTCGCGCGAAAATTTACCGCGCGCGTAAGCCTCTCCCCCCCTATATACCTGCGCTCGAAAAGATAAGAAGGACGAGAGGAGAGCGAGAGAATATTTTTTGGAATCAAATGCGATTTACGTACGGAGCCGATTTTATAAAGCGCGCGAGTAACTTCTTACAAATGATCGCGACGGTGTGCACGTCGATTCTCGCCCTCTCTATACGCCTACATATACTTATATATAATGTATTTACGATGCGCGTTAACATAACTGCCGAGTTAAATTGCCTTTTTTTTCCATTCGAGAGAGCGAAATATAATGCGCGCGCGAGAGAGCGCGAAATAGAGTATATAGGGAGAGGGGGGTTGAGGAGAAGAAAGAGAAAAGTCTAATCTTTCAAACGAGCGTCAACGAATGGAACTCGCTCAGACTCTCTCTCTCTCTCTCTTTTATTTCTTTTATTCTTATCTGTCTTATTTTCCTTTTTATTTTTCACTTTTCTAAAGCGTTGTTGCCTGCACTGGTAGTATACCGCTGCTGCTACTATATACGCTTGGGCTCGCGAGAGAGAGCAAGCGCGCAAGAGCGAGCTTTTCTTTTTCATTACTATAAAGTGTTCCACTTTTGCGCTCGCTCAACGAGCATCGCACACACACAGACACACCATATGCATCGCGCGGAGCGCGGCGCGCAAAAGTATATACAGAGCGAGACGCGCCGAAAAAGAGAGAGGGAGAGAGTAAAAAAAAGAAAATAATAAAAATACAGAACAAATACAAAGTTTACCTTTGATATTACGTGTGATGAAAATCCACTCTATACCCCCTCGAGAGAGTGAGCGAGATAGATAGATAGATAGACAGAGAGCAAAAGCTCTATCTTTCCGCGCGTCTGTTTTTGTTTAACGTTACGTAAAGCTCCCTCTCTCTACACTACGCTACACACACGCGCGTGCCTTTATTGAATAAATCAACCGTACGCCACGTACGCGTGTACTACGAGCTGAACACGTATACTTCGATAATAAATCGAAAATTTTACATCTTGCACCA